TTTTGTACGTAATAATAGAATTATTTTCCTTTGTAGCTTTGTTTCATGCCTTTTTTTTTTTGGTTAGGGGATAATTTGAAAAGCCGCGCCCTAGGTGGTGCAAGCGGGAGATTTTCTAGAGATATACGTGATGTAGGTAGATGGTTATTTTTACGTAATCGGTTAATTATCGTTGTCGGAGAGTTGTAGTGGATTACTTATCGAAGGGTCGATTTCCGAGCTAGGCATTTTTGTTGATCGACCGTGATGTGTATCTTCGTTTGTACTGTAATTTGTATTTGAACTAAAGAGTAGTAATTTGTATTTGCGCCATTTGAATTTAACTTGATTTGATCGCACTAGTATTTGTTATTTGTTAATTTGATTTGTGTCTTTTCTTTGGTGCTAACTTGTATTTGGTTGATACGTAGTAATTCGTATTTGTGTAATTTCTATTCAACGCTATTTGATAGGAACTGCATTTGTTAACTGTTAATTTTTTGGTATATTTTTTATTTGTTATCTTTGTAATTTGTGCTCGAGCCGCGTCGTACTTTGTATTTAATAGTGATGTCATCGCCTAAGCTACTGATCCGTTGTCTGCGGACTGAGTTGCGCTGGGCCACAAGTGCCCATGCTTTGATAGGTCGACCGGATAGGGTCCATAACTTGATGAAGCGGTTCGAGCAGGTGGATGCTCGAAGGGCCGCAGTAGAGGAGGCAGCGTAAGCCTCGCTCGAGCTCGAGGATTCGGATGTGGAGAAGGGAGTCCTGGACTCCTGCTCTGCGGACTATGAGCAGTTTTTGTGGCTCACGGACGAGTTGATCGAGGCTGAAGGCAGGTATGCCGAGGAGGCGCGTGAAGCTCGGATGAGTAACCTGCCCGAGTCCTCTCTGAAGCAGCTTCAGCCGGAGCTGTTGGGACGACTCCCAACTCTGGACCTGCCAAAGTTCTCCGGGGTCCTTTCCGAATGGCTGACCTTCGTTGGTCTTTTCGACAGACTAGTGGACGCCCGGAGTGACTTGAACCCGAGACAAAAGATGGCGTACCTCCTGGCCTCACTGGAGGGGGAGGCCCTGGGCGTCGTCGGCCACTTGAGATTGTCGGACGACGCCTACCAGACTGCTCGGGACCTCCTAGCCAGAAGATACGCCAACGTCCGGCCAATCGCGGACGAGCATGTTAACCAGCTTCTAAGCCTCCCGCTGCTTAGTGACCGGGCCAGACTACGTCCGGACCTGTTGGATCCAGTCATGGTGGCCTGTAATACGTTGAGGCGGCTGGAATTACCAGTGGGCGAATGGGCTTTTTTGTTGCTCCGCATCGTGCTGTCCCGTCTACCTCTCGACCTTCGAATCCATTTTGAGGAGAGGTACGGCGGGGACGAGGCCTCCTATATTCCGCCCTTCTATGACCTGCTGCGGTTTTTGGAGGAGCAGTGCCGGCAGATCGAGAACGCGGCGGGCACCGTTGACGACTTACAAGACGTGCCCAGTGAGAGGCTGAACCCGCCAGGCAAGTCGTCGTCAACCCCCCCCCCCTGCTCCTATTGTTGAGCATCTGATCACCGGGTAACGTTGTGCCCGAAATTATTAGGTAAGCCGGTTTCGGCGAGGCGAACTATCGCCAAGGAGCGCCGCTGGTGCTGTTCATGTTTGGAAGGGCACCTCCAGCGAGACTGTCCGCATCGGCGGCCCTGTCTGCATTGCCAGGGCAATCATCATGCAATTTTGTGCCTGGGTGCGAACGGCGTCTCCTCTCGGGGCTCTGCCAGGCCCTCGACTCCCACGGGCGGGGGCGCTCAGCCACGCCCTCTGCTGGGTGACTCTTGGCGCCCGCCGGCCAGCAACCAGGCCCCTAAGTTTGAAAGGGACCCCTCCCCCGACCAGTCGGGGGGTAATTCCCCCAGGGGCGGGGGTGTCATCACCCCCCCCTCAGCGCGTGGAGAGGAACTTCACGGCCACTCATCGGTCCGCTGGACCCTTCTCACTTCCGTTAGCTGAGTGGCCGCGACTGGTGTACCACTGTTCCCCATTTGATGGAGGCGGCCCTGTCCAGCTGCCGCCTTAGCTCCCACCACGGCCGCCTCCACTGAGCCTTAAGCCGTCAACAGTCCACTTGTCAAAATGTTCTGTTGCCGACGGCTCCAGTGAAGGCGTACAACCCGAGTGGCAACTGTTAGAGGTTGTGCTCTATTTATCTCGGGTTCACGCCATGTGGCCTCCCCTTGGTGGTGGGAAGATTAGGGCCCCCCTGGAGCGTTGAATCACGCTGTCAAGGGGTATTTGATTGTTGCGTCTGTTTGCTGAAAGGAAAATTTGAATTTATTTGAAATTGAATGGCGCACTATTTGAAAAATTATGTAGATGTTTATGATAGTGTTTAATAATTTTACTTTGCGAAGAAGTAGGGCTGTCCCTTACGTTATTGTTTTGTTTAATTTGCAAGTTGACCTATGCGCATCGGTGATTAATTTGGTTGAATTAATTCTGTAGTTGAACATTGATGCTTTTGAAAAATTAGTTGAAATATGAGCATAGGACTACTTGCCTAACAGGCTAGCTAGTTTTGGAGATTATCTGATTGAAATCAGCTGCCGCGCTATTTTAGTAAATGATAATATGGTGGGTGGCCTGGCTAGGCCTACTTGTTGAAAATTCATACTAGGGACTATCTGTGCGTTTCGTTCGGCTCTCCACAGACGACGTTCAAGTGGAATTTGTGGGTGCGCTCTGCACTGAAGCAACTGCTGGCACAAAATTTGTCTGGGCATCTTCGTGTAGCGTCGCTGTTTGCAGAGCTGATCCGGTCGGATTGCGGAACTAATCATAAGGGCACAGATAGGTGTTTGAAAGGGGTCGTCGGACTTCTGTCCAGTACAGGACTTGTTAAGGTGCTGCGATGCCCAGGAGGGGCATCCAGTGGAGGCTGACCCTCCAGCTTGCCACATTAGGGCTATCTTTTGAGGCGTTGGTTAGGGTTGCAAGATCTGATGGGTTGCCTAAGGTGGCCTAGTTTGGTTGTAGATTCGGTCTTGCAACTTGCAGTCTCGACCTTGTCCCGCTGACTGGTTTGCTCGCGGACCTAAATCCTTATGTCCGGGACGGGGGTTTGTTCGCGCAAAACGCTGTTGTCGGAATCGACGCCAGAGGGCACTCGGCTCGGTGCGAACTGGTTTGAAGTTCGGCCTAGCGTGGCAGTGGCGCGCGGGTCGCGAGTGAAAAGGCTCAGTCGTCAGTCGGCTGTAGGCTGTGCTAACGATTGGCACGCTGCCAATTAAGCGCGGGAACTCGGAATAATTAAGCGCGGACAGTAAAAATACTATAATTTTTAATTTTGCAAAGCAGATTATTTATTTGTTTCATGCACCTGGAACTTTTTACATCTATTCAAATCTTAAATTACTTTAGTCATCTATTTTGTGAAATCAGTGTTGGATGTACTTGAGTGCACGCTTGTGCACCTGACGTAATTGTTTCCATGTCATTTGCTTGGGCTGTTGTGTACTTAAAATTTTATACTTGTAGTAAAATCTAATATGAAAAAAGGTTTCAGGTACTAATTAACGCCAATTTTGTATGTCAACAACAGTCACAGAGAGGTATGCAAACTTGGTGCCTATGCCTACAGTGTTGAAGTCTAAGTGATACGCTAACTTTGTGTCTATGTCAACAGCCACTGAGGGCTACTGAGGGGTATGCAAACTTGGTGCCTATCCCTACAGTATTGAAGCCGAGACAGCTCGCTAGTGCAAGTGCGCCGAGACAGCTCGCTAGTGCGAGTGCGCCGAGACATCTTGCCAGTGCGAGTGCGCTGAGACATCTCGCTGGTGCCAATGCGCCGAGACAGCTCGCTGGTGCCAGTGCGCCGAGACGGCTCGCTGGTGCCAGTGCGCCGAGACGGCTCGCTGGTGCCAGTGCGCCGAGACGGCTCGCTGGTGCCAGTACGCCGAGACGGGTCGCTGGTGCCAGTGCGCCGAGACGGGTCGCTGGTGCCAGTGCGCCGAGACGGGTCGCTGGTGCCAGTGCGCCGAGACGGGTCGCTGGTGCCAGTGCGCCGAGACGGGTCGCTGGTGGCAGTGCGCCGAGACGGCTCGCTGGTGCCAGTGCGCCGAGACGGCTCGCTGGTGGCAGTGCGCCGAGACGGGTCGCTGGTGGCAGTGCGCCGAGACGGCTCGCTGGTGCCAGTACGCCGAGACAGCTCGCTGGTGCCAGTGCGCCGAGACAGCTCGCTGGTGCCAGTGCGCCGAGACAGCTCGCTGGTGCCAGTGCGCCGAGACAGCTCGCTGGTGCCAGTGCGCCGAGACAGCTCGCTGGTGCCAGTGCGCCGAGACAGCTCGCTGGTGCCAGTGCGCCGAGACAGCTCGCTGGTGCCAGTGCGCCGAGACAGCTCGCTGGTGCCAGTGCGCCGAGACAGCTCGCTGGTGCCAGTGCGCCGAGACAGCTCGCTGGTGCCAGTGCGCCGAGACAGCTCGCTGGTGCCAGTGCGCCGAGACAGCTCGCTGGTGCGAGTGCGCCGAGACAGCTCGCTGGTGCGAGTGCGCCGAGACAGCTCGCTGGTGCGAGTGCGCCGAGACAGCTCGCTGGTGCGAGTGCGCCGAGACAGATCGCTGGTGCGAGTGCGCCGAGACAGCTCGCTGGTGCGAGTGCGCTGAGACAGCTCGCTGGTGCGAGTACGCCGAGACAGCTCGCTGCCACGAGTGCCACGCGACTGCCCGCTGGCGCGCGAGCTGCGCGAGTGCTGAACGCAGTGGAACTGCTTCCTGGAGTACGTTTAGCTGGATGCCCTGTGTCTTCAGTGTATAGTGCGATCTGTGCAGTGTGCGTGTGTTAGCTCTAGTTTGAATTTGTAAACTAAAATCTGATTTGAACGATGTTTTCAATTCTGCAAAAATCTTTTTATCAAAATATCAAAAACTTTTATCTATATAGGTGGCGACCCAACGTTATATGCAAGAATGTCTACAGCAGAATTAAATTTTCATTTAAAGAAAGAAAAAAAGTTATGTCATGTAACTTACTTGTACATTGAATGATGCTCACGTACTATTTCTCTCATCCTTGATTTTATTACTGATATTAATCTATCAGCCTCTTGTTGACTTTTCGGTAAGTCAAGCCCCTCCATCAGATCTTGGATATACCAAATTATTAGATCTGCCTTTGCCATTATTTCACCAATCCACAATACTTGCGTTTGAAGCATAACTGAAAATAATAAATACGTTTTAAAATATTAATTTGATATACCGACAAATATGTTTCTATATTTTCTCAACTCAATTCACATTTCCCTAATATTACTATAAAATTAAACATAGTAAAGATATTTTAGATTCTTCACTTACATATATAACTATAGGCATAAGCTAATGCACAAAAGTTGGAATAAATAAATGATATTTCATAGAGTGGTGATGCACTAAAATCCGTTTCGAAATACCAAAATGGAAAAAAAAGCGGTCTTTTTGAACCATCTCCTGGTTCGTGAGTTGCTACGTGCCACAATAAGCAAAGACTTGTAAATAACGCCACACCTCCACCAATGGAGCTTGTAAAAATTACGGAAAAAATGGAAAATTTCCATGTATTTAGTTGATTTTCAAAAAACCTGTCCCTGTAAAATCAAAAGAATTAAAATGTATATAAAAAAGTAGTTTACGTAACTTAACTGGTTGCGTATACGAGTTTAAACTAACCTGTATTTTACCCCTTCTGAGCAAACGTATTTAAAATCAGCTCTCAAAGTTCGTAGCAAAACGTGGTATTGCTGTAAGTTTATTATTGTGCATAAAAGCATCAACATTTCATAAAATATAACAATAAAGTAACAACCTCCTTCAGTTATAATTTGTAAATCATTTGTATCGATGCCATGGTAAACAGTTAAGCTCAATAAGCCTAGGGCGATAATAACACATATAGCCATAAATGTTAGGAAAAAATATCTGAAAATATTAAAATGTTATCAATAAAAAAAGTATAATTTTAAAGTGAAATGGCATTTGCATACACTTCGATATTTATGCTTTGAACATATCAGAGGTACATTTTATCATAGCATCATAACGTCACAAAATACTTGCGACAATCTTCAGGTATAATAATTTTTCCTCGACAACCAATCATGTCATCAAATCATGCGGTGGTAAGGTTTAGTCTCCTTTTTAATAAGATGGCTTTCGAAGCATTGAGGTGAAGCTTTTACGTTATCTCTTTGAAAAAGTCATCAACTTTAATAAAGAAACTTACGTCCATTTTGGAATAGGTTCATTATCTACAACTTGAAAATATTTTAATATGTAATAACATGTAAAATGATATTTATACGGGTCCACAAATCCATTTGAACTGTCGAAGTTTTCTTTGTTAAGAAAAGCCTTAAACTTTTTCAGCATATTTTTAAAGATACCTTACGAATTTTAAAAGTACAATATTATGTGTATGTTCCAAGTGCTCACTGGATTAATAATGACTAATTTAGAAAGAATCTTGAGGCATATGTAGCAAATTATACACAATTACGTATGGACTTAGTTTCTATTGCTATATGAGCTCGCATAGAGAACGGTAGTAGCCTAATGGTTAAGAATACGGACCGTGAAACTCAAACATTTGAATCCACATTCGAATACTGACCAAGAATTACAATTGGCACAAGCATCGCAAAGTAAACATGAGAGATTTAAAGGAGTATCAGTAGTATTACAGCACCGCTAGCTTATTCATCTTTTTAATATTCATATTTGCATTATGAATAGTTTACAACCAAAATAATGGGTTTGGGTAACATTTAGTCTTTTTCATAAAACTTAAGAGACAGACTAATTTACAATCCATCTGATGATAAATATCTACTTCAGTATATATATATATATATATATATATATATATATATATTGCCGTGTAGTGGCGGTTAATAATATCCAATATCCCATATCTTCCCGTGGGTGTCGTAAAAGGCGACAAAGGGAAACAGACCGGAGATGGGCAGCAGCATCTTCCTGACAACAACAACTTTACAATGAGAAAAAAACTGCGGTTGCCAACCCGCCCGCCAAGCGTGGCAACTATGGCAAATACCCCCCTATGAATGACAGTAACAAAGAAACTGCCCCCAGTCCCCGGCGGCTCCGCTATTCCTGGCTACGGTGGCAACCATGGTAACGGCGGGGCAGGGGGTGTTAAGAATCTCCGGTGGAGGTTCGGTTGCCACCTAAGACGACTCGACCTGGCAACATACAACGCACGCACCTTGAGGACTGACGAGAAGATCGTGGAGCTGGAAGAAGAGATAGACAAGTTACGCTGGCATATTATAGGATTATCCGAAGTCCGAAGAGAGGGGGAGGACACGGTAATCCTCGAATCCGGCAACTTGCTCTCCTCTTGCTCGCCCTCACATGGAATACTGTTCTCATCTCGGGGCCGGGGCTCCCCAGTGCCAGCTCCTTGCATTTAATCGTATCCAGCGCTGTGGTTCGAATTGTCGATGACCGAGCTCTTTCTGATCGCTTTGCCTCACTGGCACTGCGAAGAGTTGTATCTCTTTGCATATTTTTTAGTATCTACCACCGAGAGTGTTATGTGGAATTGTTCAGACTTATTGCAGCCGCTCAACTCATCATCGCACATTGCGACAAAAGTCACGATACCATCCATACCATCTGGATGATTGGCGGTCAACCACTGTGCGACTTACGAGAAGACTTTTTTTTTCTTCGCACAACTTCCTTGTGGAATCGACTACCACTAGCGATTTTTCCGAACCGATACGACTTCGGGACCTTCAAGAAAAGAGCATACTCTTTTATTAAAAGGCCGGTACCGTACCTGCAATTCCCTTAGTGTTGCTGAAGTTCACGGACGGCAGTCGAAACTTACCATCAGGTGAGCCGCATGTTTGTTTGCCCACTCTTCTATAAAAGAATAACAAAGATTTCTTCGCAATTAATCTTACTCTCGATAACTCATCAAGTATAACAGTTGCACTCCGAAATCTTCTATGACTTCATACGATCGCTATCTCGTACGGTCTCTAGGTCAACGCATTAAGTGAGCAAAACAATTAAACCATTTACGGAATATATAGAGTACCATATCATTGCTGTCATGAACGGACGTATGAAGTGAGCAAAACATACAAACCATATACGGAATATACAGAGTGCCACATAATTTCCGTCATGAACGGACGCATGAAGTGAGCAAAACACACGAACTATATACGGAATATACAGGTTGCCACATCATTTCCATCATGAACAGAGGCATGAAGACCTGTATATTCCGCATATGGTACAAACCATATGCGGAATATACAGGTTGCCACATCATTTCTGTCGTGAACGGACGCATGAAGTGAGCAAAACATACAAACCATATACGGAATATACAGTGTGCCACATGCTTTTTGTCATGAACGGACGTGCTAAATGAGCAAGAATTATTCAAAATTGAATATCATCCTGTCCAATAAAAATGAAATTCCTGAAGAATAGTGAGAGGAGCTGGCGGCTGGCACTGCAGTAAGGCTGCCCATCTTCTGCCTCAGTTTTCCTCTGTCGCCTCTTACGACACCCACGGGAAGATATGGTGTAGTGGGTATTCTTACTCGCAACTACACGGGCCTGCACGTGACCAATTATATAATATTTAAATACAGGGACCGTTAGCCGTGTAGTGGCGGTCAAGAATATACATTACCCCATATCCTCCCGTGGGTGTCGTAAAAGGCGACAAAGGGAAACAGGCAGGAGATGGGCAGCAGCATCTTCTTGATAACAACAAACTAACAAGAAAAAAAACTGCGGTTGCCAACCTGCTCGCCAAGCGTGGCAACTATGGCAAATACCCCCTATGAATGACAGTAACAAAGAAACGGCCCCCAGTCCCCGGCGGCCCCGCTATTCCTGGCTACGGTGGCGACCATGGTAACGGCGGGGCAGGGGGTGCTAAGAATCTCCGGTGGAGGTTCGGTTGCCACCTTAGACGACTCGACCTGGCAACGTACAACGCACGCACCCTGAGGGCTGACGAGAAGATCGTGAAGCTGGAAGAAGAGATAGACAAGTTGCGCTGGCATATTATAGGATTATCCGAAGTCCGAAGAGAGGGGGAGGACACGGTAATCCTCGAATCCGGCAACTTGCTCTATCACCGGGAGGGCGACCATCTGTCCCAAGGAGGTGTCGGATTTATCGTCCACAAGTCTCTCGTTAACAACGACTAAAGATTGAGAGTGTGTCGACGGGGGTTAGGTAACTTATACTCAGAATCATCAAACGGTATTCGCTAAAGGTCATACAGGTTTACGCACCAACCTCGGCACACACCGATGAGGAGGTGGAGGAAATGTATGAGGATATCTCTAGAGCCATGCATTCCTCCAAAACCCAATATACGGTGTTAATGGGAGACTTCAATGCAAAACTAGGCACAAGAGAGAACGGTGAGCTAAAAGTAGGGAAATTGGGAATAGGGCAACGGAACCCAAGGGGCCAGCAGCTGGCAGACTTCATGGAGAAAGAGGGACTTTTTATGATGAAGTCTTTCTTCCAGAAGCGGCCCCACAGGAAGTGGACCTGGTCGAGCCCCGACGGTTACACAAAAAATGAGATTGACTTCATTACGACGACCAGACGACAACTGTTCAGTGATGTCTCCGTGATCGCGAGGGTGAAAACAGGTAGCAATCACTGAATGGTTAGAGGCACACTGAACCTAAACGTTAAGTTAGACAGGTCCCGTCTAATGAAGTCAACGCTCCGTCCCCCTCGTGCTCTGTTCCAAAGTCCAGAAACCTTTCAGCTCGAGTTACAAAACCGTTTTCAGTGCCTAGAAGACTGCAATGAAGTGGACGATATGAATGACAAGCTCGTGGAAACTGTCCATGCGGTCGAAGCTAAGTTCTGCAAGATCCGCCGCAGACGAACACAAAAACTCTCCGATCACACTCTCATTCTTATGGCTGTTAGACGGGAGATGAAGCTACATTCTTCAACAGATTTGACAGCATACAGGCAACTGAACAGACAGATCGCCGAATGCATGCGGCGGGACTTACGCAACTTCAATACAGCTTGTATTGAAGAAGCGATCGAGCGGGACCAAGGCTCCAAAGTCTTTGCCAGAGATTTGTCTGCCAGAAAGAGCCAACTATCGAAGCTGAAGACTTCTATGGGCTATGTTCTATCGGCAGCTGTACACATCATCGTTGGAGTCACACGCAAGTGTGAGTAACGATCCAAGAGCGAGTCTTATCCGACACTATTCCGAAGATATCCTGGACGTCAGTCTGAACGAGATTAGAATGGCTCTCCAGCACCTTAAAAACGGCAAGGCCCCAAGCGAGGATGGAATTACAGCGGAGCTTCTGAAAGCGGGTGGAAGACTGGTACTTGAAGTCCTTCAGAAGCTCTTTAATTCCGTCCTCCATGGTGGCGCTACACCGGAGGCGAGAAGCAGAAGTGCGGTGGTCTTGTTCTTCAAGAAAGGTGACAATGCTCTCTTGAAGAACTACAGACCGATTCCCCTTCTGAGCCGCGTCTACATGCTGTTTTCGAGTCATTACGAATCGTCTCGCGCGCAGACTTGACGACTTCCAGCCTCCCGAACAAGCCGGTTTCCGAAAGGGCTTTAGCACTATAGACCACATACATACCCTTCGGCAAATTGTACAGAAGTCCGAAGAGTACAATTTGCCACTATGTCTGGCGTATGTGGACTATGAGAAAGCCTTTGATTCTACGATGGCTATCCGAGTACAGAACCAGAGTACGAAACCTATCCAATTGCAGAGAGGTGTAAGACAGGGTGACGACATATCCCCGAAACTCTTTACCGCTGCATTGGAAGATGTTTTCAAGCTTCTGGACTGGAAAAGATACGGTATCAACATCAATGGCGAGTACATCACTCACCTTCGATTTGCCGACGATATAGTCCTTATAGCAGAATCGCTGAAGGACCTAAGCACTATGTTCAATGACCTCAATAGTGTTTCCCAACGGATAGGTCTTAAGATGAACATGGACAAAACAAAGATCATGTTTAATGTCCATGTCACACCTATGCCGGTAGTTGTTGGGAGCACTAAGCTCGGAAATTGTTGACGAGTATGTTTATCTGGGACAAATAGTCCGACTAGGTAAGTCCAGATTCAACTCGGCTGGGCAGCGTTGGGGAAACTACGACACATCTTCTCGTCAGAGATACCTCAAAATCTTAAAACGAAATTGTACAACCAGTGCGTGTTACCAGTGATGACTTACGGATCTGAGACGTGGTCCTTCACTGCTGGCCGTATGAGCAAGCTCAAGATCGCTCAGCGAGCTATGGCGAGGGCTATGCTCGGGGTTTCTCTGCGTGATAAACTTATAAACGAGCATATCTGCAG